CACTCTCACCACTGGTCCTGAAGGGATCATCTGTCCTGGATTCCCTGTGTTTCCAGTTCCTATTTGTACCAGTGTACATCCTCTGGTCTAGCCAGATTTATAAGGTAGGATTGAGATCATGATAGTTGGCTGGGGGAAGCATTTAGGAACTAGAGGAAAGTTGTATGTTTCATCATTGCTACACTGCTTCCTCACTTGGTGTCTGAGGCCTTTTTAAGTGTATAATGAACGTTGACAATTTTCTTATAATAAAACCAATTATTAGTTTTAGGATTATAAGAAGTTTGGATGAAAGTTTTATAATCTACTCTTTTGTCCTTGACTGAAACAGAATGAATGTGCCTTTCCCCCCTCTCTCTTTTACTTTTGATGCACCTAGATCTGTTTTAATGGAGTGACATGTTAATAGGTTCTCATGTTGTTGTTTAGATGCCATTCGCTTGGATCCCATTCAGAGCAACCCTGTATACAACAGAACCAAGCACTGCCTAGTCCCGCGCCGTCCTCACCATGTTCTGTGGTTTGGGGCCATTCTTGCAGCCACTGCATCGTCCCATCTTGTCAAGAGCCTTCTCCCCCTTGTTCCTACCTTTTCAAGCATGATACCTTTTCCCAGGGTCTGATCTCTCCTGATAACATGTCCAAAGAGTACGAGACAAACTATCGTCACTCTGCATCTAAGGAGCATGCTGGCGGTCCTTGCTAATTCTTTGTTTAGAAGAGAATAGAATTATGTGTTAAAAATGAAGACCCTTTTTCATAGCATTCCATCTTTCAGATCATCTTTTTCAAAAGCAAATTAAATTAGTCAGGATTGATTTCCTGAAAGCCCTAGATTAGAAGACCTTCTGCTATGTGAAGATTTAACTTTCATGTTTATTATGTTGTTATGAATGTTATTCATATTCATATATGGAAAGATTTTAAACGTGCACCAGTAGTGGACTGATTAAATAGTTGCTATGTGCCCCAAAGCATAATTATATATGAAAATAACCAATGTGCTGTAAAAATACTGATAAATTAATGAATCTGTGTCAAAAGGATGAACTAAGCATGTTACATGTAACAATACATGTGACATATTGTTGTTTAGAGAAACGGAGAACGTGTCAGAAATTGCTTGTCGCATGGACTTGTAATGATGACAGAAGTGCTCTTGTCACCGTTCTGCCACAGAGCCCAGAATGATGGCGACAGCCTGGGTAGTTCTTGGGCACATGCCAAACAGTGAGAAAGGTCCACCACGGCACAGTGGCTCTTCTGCCTTTTGTCCTACACTCAAAGCAGAGTGGCCTCAGCCAGAGGACAATGAGGTGATGTGTGCTTGCTGTGATGCTAGCCACTCTGTAACGCCTTCATTTCCACCCTCGCTATTCCTGGATGTCTCCCAACTCCACCGAGGGTGTCTGTTCCCCTTACTGCAGCAGCTCCCTCCCCCGTCAGACCCCTCTGCCTTTCAGCCTCTGATCTGTTCATCGGCTCCGACATGTTTGTTTCAGCATCCCAATGATAACAACAGATTACCACATGCTTATGAAACGGACCCAAGTGTTCATTGATACTATTGGTCTCAAAAAGTAGATTTGAGTAGGAATATGTGACTCTTTTTAACAAAACTACTCAATTAAGGAGAGCAGATATTGCTGTGCAGATATTGTCACGGAGGAAGAAATTATGACTCATCTTCCAGCAGCACTGTTGCCTGGAGACAAAGGGGTCCAGAGTTGCCTCTCACTATTTCAGCCAAGGACAGAGACAAGGTTGAATGGAGAAATTTTGTTAATTTCTGCAAGTGTTCAACAGAAGGAAAGAGTGGGGGCTGCAACCTCCAAACTGCTTCAAATACTCAGTGAACATCCAACAAGTTCTTTACCCCAAGCTATGTGGCAGGCTGAGTGGGGTAGGGAGAATAATTAGCAGGTTTTAAAGCAGATTCAGGAGATAATTAACAAGTTTTACAATAATCCAGAGCCTAAACAATGTGAGTAGGCCTCACAAGAAAACCATCTACTTTTCCCCAGCAGATTATCAATTGATAGCTAAATTTCTCCTCTTTAGGAGCTGTCAGACCTTCAGAGCATCCATTGTTCATCTAAATGGCCTTGCTTGCCCCTAGAGTTAGAAGATACTTAGTGATGACGTTTCAAAGGGAGTTTTTCAGGAACCGATTAAAATGATCATAGTATAACCCACACCCACCCCCCAGGGGGACGAACAACAGAAATGTGGGAGAAGGGAGACACTGGACGGTGTAAGATATGAAAATAACAATAATTTATCACTTATCAGGGGTCCACGAGGATAGGGGGTTGGGGGAGGGAGGGAAAAATGAGGAGCTGATACCAAGGACTCAAGCAGAAAGAAAATGCTTTGAAAATGATGATGACAACAAATATACAAATGTGCTTGACACAATGGATGGATGTATGGATTGTGATAAAAGTTGTACAAGCCCCCAATAAAATGATTTTAAAAAGAAAGAAAGAAATAAAATGATGGCAACATATTTACAAATGTTTCTGATACAATTGATGTATGGATTGTTATAAGAGCCCTCAATAAAATGATTTATTAATAACAAAGAAATGAAGGGA